TTAACGAATTAATAAATAAAATAAAATTTAAATTTTATATTTTTTATAATGAAATGTTAATAGTCAATTAATAGAATTAATAATTAATTAACAAAATTAATAATCAACTAACAAGACATTAAATAAATTTTTTTTTTAATTCATATAAATAAGAGTTAAAAGTGTTATAATGAAAGTTGAAAGATTAAAATTTACAGATTTATTAAGATAAAAGATTAAAAAATAAGTATTTGCCCGAATCCTGGTCCTAAAATAAACACAACCATTTTTTTGTTACTCAAATTCTATTAAGGGAACTATTTACCAGTCCGAACTGGTAAACAAATTTGCAGTGTGGGCTGGATGGAATTGAAAAGCCCATAATGGAAAGCCCAAATGAGTAAGAAAGAATGTTCAGGGTTTATCAGGGTCGCGGCCGCCCTTAGTCTTTTCGGCTATCGTTGGCAGTAGTGTAGGTTCCTCTTTGGCTCAATTTCTTCATCTCCTCGTCTCTTCGAATTCTTAGCTTCAATAGCTTTCCTGAGTCGACATGAACTTGAAGCTATTGATATCGAGGGAACAATTAAACAAGGTATCAAGATTTAATGGAAGATTACATTCTGCATGCCCAAGTCATTGCAAAAGTTTTTCTACCATTACATCTCCGGCTTCTACTTCCTGTTACTCTCTGAGCAAAGATCATGGCTCTTTTCTGCCCCGAATCTTTAAGACCCAGAAAGTTGCTGGGTCTTCTGGTAGATATTTTCATTCAACTCAAGTTGTTAGGCTAAGTCGAGCCAGCATTGACTCGAAAATTAACTCCAATGACTTTGAGGGCGATGATGGAACCATGAATGAATTTTTATCACGGTTTGTTTGGATAATGCGTGGGAAACTATCTGAAGCGTACCCAAGATGTGATAAGGAGACAATTAATGGGATGCTTTCCATTATTGTTGCCAATGTTGTGGATGAGATGGAAAAGGGTGGGATTGAGAAGAGGGTTGGTGCGGCTGCTATGGTTACACTGTCGCAGGATTTTAGTCAAGATTTATGGGGAACGGTATGGGAAGTGAGTAATAGGGTGTTGCAGGATATGGAGAAGGCGAGGAAGAAGGAAAAGATGAAGAAATTTTTGCAGTCTGAGGAAGTAAAGGAAATGTATCGATTTGCTAGTGAAGCTGGTATTCGTGGAGATTTGTTGAGGGAGCTAAGGTTCAAATGGGCTCGAGAGAAAATGGAGGAAACTGAGTTTTATGAGAGTTTGGAACGCCTTAGGGAAGAAGAGCAGGCCGGAGAGAAAGAAGGCAAGGCGATGCATGTAGAGGTTAATGCTGAAGAGGCTGTTGTAACTGAGGATAAACATGATGTTGTATCTATATTAAAGAGAAAAGGAAAGATCAGGTACAAGACATATGGTCTTGATTTATCAGATCCTAAGTGGGTTGAAGTGGCTGATAAACTCCATGAGGCAGAGGAAATTATTGTCCCAAAGGAGCCAAAGCCAATATCTGGTAAATCTAAAATTGTTATGGAGAAAATCCTTTCATTGAGAGAGGAAGATGACCCTTCTCCACTACTAGCTGACTGGATTGAGCTTCTGCAACCTAGTCGTGTGGATTGGATCACTTTGCTTGATAGATTGGAGCAAAAAAATGCTGGTCTATACCTAAAGGTAAAGGTTAAAACTTAAAAGTTAGTCTCATATATGGCACAATCTGGCATGATGAAGTTTCATTGAGACCATCACATATTTCTGAACCATGAATCATGATAAATATATAGATACATGTAACCTGATGCTCAAAAACATTTCATGGAACCGTAACGTGTTTCTATCCTAGTCTTTCACCTTTTCTTAACACCCTTCAGTGTCATTTGTTTTTGTATATTTCTATCATTACAACAACAGCATACATGCAAGCATGAGTTTTGCATTAAAAATTTTTTAATATATGCGGCTACTGATGTTGAGCCTGCTTGCTATCATGATGTTTAATGTTTATAGGTAGCAGAACGTTTGTTGGATGAAAAATCTTTCCAAGCAAACATTCGTGACTACACAAAGGTTATTGATGCTCATGCTAATGAGAACCACATAGACGATGCTGAAAGAGTCCTAAAGAAAATGGGTGAAAATGGTATCTTTCCTGATATTTTAACTGCAACACTTCTTGTTCACATGTATAGCAAGGTTGGCAATCTTGATCGCGCTAAAGAAGCATTCGAAAACTTGAGAAGCTTTGGCTTCCATCCAGATCAGAAGGTCTACAACTTGATGATCTTGGCCTATGTCAATGCTGGCCAACCTAAATTGGGTGAGTCATTAATGAGAGAGATGGAAGCAAGAGACATCAAACCTTCAGAGGAGATTTACTTGGCATTGCTTAGGTCTTTTGCCCTAAGTGGTGATGTTGGTGGAGCTGGACGAATTGCAACCACTATGCAGTTTTCAGGGTTCCAACCAACTTTAGAGTCTTTCACACTGCTTGTTAAGACATATGCACAAGCTGGTGACCCTGATCAAGCTAGACGCAATTTTGACCACATGATGAAACTTGGATTCAAACCCAATGATAGGTGCACTGCTAGCATGATTGCAGCATATGAAAAGAAAAATTTATTGGATAAGGCTTTAAATCTTCTATTGCAGCTGGAGAAGGATGGTTTTGAGCCTGGGGCTGCTACTTATGCTGTCCTTGTGGATTGGTTTGGTAAAATGCAATTGGTTGATGAGGCGGACCAACTGTTGGGCAAGATTGCTGAGCAGGGTGAGGTTCCTCCTTTCAAGATTCATGTGAGCCTCTGTGATATGTACTCAAGGGCTGGAGCTGAGAAGAAAGCTCTTCAGGCTCTTGGAGTTCTTGAAGCAAAGAAGGAGGAATTGGGGGCCCAGGACTTTGAGAGGATCGTAAATGCCCTCATAGCAGGTGGTTTTATGCAGGAAGCTAAAAGGCTATATGGTATGATGGAGTCTCAAGGCTTTGCTGCATCAGATCAACTAAAGGTAGCCTTAAGGGCATCTGAAACTTTCACCTGGCAAAGACCAATCGCAAGATAAACTGCATGGATTTTAGGCTGCAATTGAACATCAATGAGATTGCTGAATAGTCATGAAGAATTCTTAACACATTGAGCAGTAAGTGGATGCAATTTAGGAACAGATTAGAACCTGCAGTGTCAGCTAAAGCTAGTTTCTGCTTACAATTTTTACCTTGGCTTCCAAGCCAATGATTGTTTCCTTTTGTTGGATGACACTTGACTAATCTTTCATAATAATCACTTGATAGATGCAGGTTTCTTCTTCCTTTTATGCCAGTCTATTATATCTTTTATCTTCTACCATGTTAAAAATAAAAATAGATGGCTGATTGCTGCATTGATGCGTGTATGTGCTTTTCTAGGTTGTTTCCCTTGCTCTCATTTATTCTCTTCATTGATCACATGGGTTTTAGCATTAAGCAGGTTAATGCTGCTTTGCCTGCTGTGTTTGAGCTAGCATACATTTATGTTTTTCATGTCTCTTCTGCCTTTTCCTTCTTTATTTAACGTGCCCTTTTATACAGAAAGTAGAAACACACAATTCAAGTTTAGGAACTTAGAGCTCTTGAAGTTTTTGTTAATTGCATAATTTAAGATCATTAAGGACACTAAAGATATCTTGATCTAATTGTTTACCACTGAAGGATTCTATCATACATTCTAATAGTTTTCTCCTTTGTTGAAATCATTAAATCATTTTAGTGCCCCTTGTTGCTCCACTGCATGGACAACATCTGCAATAGAAATCATGCCAACTATCTTTCCATCTATGGCTGGAACATGCTGCATGTGATTGGCTAATCATTATGAATCACTGTTAGGTCTTGCAGAATGAATTTTGGTTATGTACTTCCATGCATGTTAATATGCTAATTACCTTCATAAATTGCATTGCATGAGGAATGTGTGAGATGTCACTATAATTAACTAGTTCTGTTGATACTTAAGATGGGTTTAGATGGGGGATGAATAAATTGTAGAGAAAAGAGGATAGTTTACAAAGATAGTGAGATATAACTTCATCTGTCATGATTTCTGCAACTGTTGTGTATTTAGACAAACTCCCCTGCACAATGACCTTTCTTAGATAATCTGTTAGGTTATGTCATTCCACATTAGAATTAGAGTTAATGTGTTTAAGCATAATTTTCACGATCCCATCATTGAATCATGTTGTTGAATCATGAGATTGCCGTACTTGCTTTGTAACTGTGACTATACTTAGATGGCTGTTTCATTCTAGATTCTAGATTTAGATAACAGAAGATGATGTTATGGTAAAACTTTTATCTCTCTGTGATTATTTCTGCAATATGTTGTTGCTCTCCTGGTTTTAGCGCCACCGATGATTCGAAATTATATTCTGCCATCTGCAAATTAGTCTTTCTTTTGTTGAACCACTGATGTGTCGGCAACATATATCATATAGATTGAATGAAATAGGTCTGCATTTTTGTTCCTGAAATATTGTATAGATACCTACATTGTTCACGGCATCATCAACATTGTGATTTATTCCGCACCAGAGCCAATACCCAACCTGTTCATTTCCCTTGGTCATATCCCATATGAGTATTTCTGCTGCCATTATGTTCTCTAACCGCTTCTCTTGCTGAGGAGATGGAAGAGGTGACACATCGGAAAGGTGAGAACACATCCTTTCTCTCTACTGCAATTATCCCCTGAGATTGCCCAAGAATTGCAGGATTAACTGTTTCCCTGTTAGATCTTGTTAGACGGTTGGAGTTTACTAGGACACTCCCGTGCAAATTGTTTATTTGTTTAGTTCAATCGTAATGCAAGAGGTGTAAATCTGTAAGACATGGGATTATGTAAGTGGATTTCGTTTTAAAGCCTCACTGATATATGAATGGCAGTAAGGAAGCTAACTACCATTGCTTCCTCAGAAATTTTAGAGCTATTTTTCCCTATTGTTTCTCTAAGATTTCTGCATTTTTCTTACCGTTCATTGAGCACTGTTCATCTTTTCTCCAACAGATCTTACTCGCATTAGTCGTTGCATCTTAAAACTGCCAAGTAGAATTGCCATAGAAACTTCTATTTTTCGATGTTATAAAATACATGTATAAAATATGTTATGCTTGGCAATAGTAGCAGTGATGACAACTAAACGAAAACTTGTAAATTTGAGGAACAACAGGGAGATCCTTTAACGATGAAGCTATGGAACTTTCCTTGGATGTTTTATAATGGTTAATATGGAAGAATGGAAGAAGAATGCCTTGCCTTGCACATCTTGCGAATGTAAATTGAAGGAATTCTTATCTTTAATCCCAAGATCAAGGAAAAGATCATAGAATTTCATCTGCCTGTTCTCTCGTGTATCACATGAATCAAGAGTGAATTTCAGAGATGCCTTTTGAATTTAGATTCAGGTAAAGTATAGATGCTAGACCCGATTGAGAAGGAAAATCTAATCGGAGAATATTGAATTTCTTCTCATAAGGAAGGGATTTTTTGTCCCCAGGGAAAAGCAAGAAATCGGTCATGAGTTAGTGACGTGAGATATTCCTAGAAATACAGCTAGGATTGTAAAAACAAAACATTGTCTAAAGCGCAAAGTTAACATAGATAGAGACGGATGAAAATCAGCTCCTTGTAATAATTAATATTTCAAAAATAATAATGAAAAGATTATAATGTTTTTAATATACTAATGATTATAGAAGATTTAGATAATATTTTAAATATTAATGATAATAAATTGAAAGCTTTATTAAATAATATAGGTTAATTTTTAAATTGATTTAATAGGCTTAATTAATTGTTATTAATTATATAAAACTTAATATTATTAAATTAGTACATAGATATGTTTTTATAGATAAATTATGATGTTTTGATATTAAAAATAGGAAAAAGTGCCAATCAGTTTTACTTCCTAAAGATTAGAAGTTTTAGGAGGAAAATCATCCTAAAACTACGTCGTTTTAATAAATTTTTATTGAAAAAGACTAAATTACTTTATTTTTAAAACATGCATTAAGGTGATTTTTGTTTTTTTTACTCATAATTTTTTGAA